CAAGGTAATGTGGAAGTGACAGCCACGCCTTGTGGGGAGGACAGAGGCTTTGAAGTCACACACACACAAGCTATAGTTTTGCAAGAGAGTCAAGACCATGAGCAGCCTGCGTTTCATTGCACACACCCTGGGTGGGTGCTAGAGTGCCAGATCTAAGGTGAATCTTTGTGCCCCCCACAATTGTCCTCCATTAAAATTCCAGCAACCGCTGATGAGCATGATCTATTAAACCCAGTGGGCTCTCTTCGACACAACTGACCTCGTCTTTCTCCCTCTCCTGTCTGTGGGGCCTCATAGCCTCTGCCTGCTGCTCCTATGACCCTTCTCATGGATTCTTCTCCTCTCATCATTCAGATTCCCTGGGCTTATACCAAATCCCCCCTCTTGCCACCCTACTCTCTCCACAGTCAATCTTGGGTGTTCCCAGGACCTCAACTACATCTACACTGATAAGTCCAGCCCCAGACCCATCTGTAATATTCTACATTGCCACGTGGGTCTCAGAGCAACCTCAGTCAGAGTCCCAAATTCAAATTCGTGGTTTTCCCTGCTGTTCTGGATATTAACTTGATCCTGACTTCTTCTCATTCCCAACACCCAAAAGATGCTTAAGTTCTGTGGAATGTATCTCAGAAACTTTCCTCAGTTCAGGCACACAGCTCCAACACAGCCACCACCGCCATTCTCCAAGCCACCAGCAACCCCAACAGAGACCCCTGCCCCAGTCCCCAGATTGTCTCCTTTCTGCTCCTTGAGCACCAAGTCATGTTCCAGAGGACACAGAGGGACAACAACCATCTTACTAAATTTTTTTAAATTAGGAGGGCATTAACCTACTGTCCAAATCTTACCAGGTAAAAAGTCCAAATCGAGCTCCAGTTGACCAGAAGTGGGGCTAAATATTTCTGAAATGATTAAAGCTAAGGGCAACATGGCTCAGACTCCAAAACTGCTGCAGGCACAGAGACGCCTACCTCCCCAAAGGTGTCTGAATCACACAGTGTGCAGCCTATGCCTGTCTGTTCTAGCTAAAAGGAACACTCTTCATGCCTTCTTCCTCCTGAAAGGACCCTCCACCAACCTGCACCCCACTTTTAAGGATGAGGAAACCCTCTATTGTATACCACCTGCGTACCGCAGTCCTCAGAAGCTAGCCTCACAAATTATAGGAGAGCCAAGGCAGACACACCACATTCCAATGGGCAGCCATGTCTGCATGTCAGTTTGAGAGATCACTGCCAGGGAAATAGCTATATCTCAGCAAAGACAGCTTCAGCCCTTTGGAGTCCAGCTGTGCTCAAATGGGAATCCTGAAATCCAGATGTTGGTCCAAACGCCTTGTCTCTTCAAGCCAGCTTCCGAATTCTCTGTTGTGAGAGTGAACCTCGAGAGCCACCTGTCTGCCTACCCATGCCCTAGAATCCTGGACCTGAGAAACAAGGGGGAATATGGGGGGAAACCGGTGATTCCATGAGGAAAGCAGAGGGGCTGCCAAAATCCAATGTGAGGTTTAGGTAGATGATATTCACCCTTGCACTTCACCAATAGATAGGGGATGAAGGTTGGAGTCTGGTTCACCCAAATCATTTTTCTAATGAAATTGACCACTTGTTTTGTGCTTTTTCAGTATATAAATACTATAAGCATTTTCCATTTACTATCTTGTTATTTTACTGAATGCCCTCATAACCTTGCACTGAGATTGTCTTTCATTACCTCTGTTTTACAGATGAGGAAACTGAGGCCCATTCAGGTAGTGTAAATTTCCCAAGGCTGCACAGTTTACAAGTGGTACAGCAGGGACCTAAACTCAATACCCACACTCTAAAACATTTTTGCAAATGTAGATCAGTGGCTCTCAGCCTAGGGACATTTTTGGTTGTCACAACTGGAGGCGGGGGAGGCAGTGCTACCAGCACCCAGTGGGCAGAGGCCAGTACACAGGACAGCCCCCACAAAATATCTCACCAAATGTCACAGTGCCAAAGTGGAGACACGCAGGTGCAGACCATCACCAGCAAGAAAGGAAAGACCTGCAGTCTGGATCCACCCCTCCAGGAGCCCCATGCTGACCCTGGAGTGGAGAGTTCATGTAGCAATTTCAGGGATTCTGATGAGCTGTTACCCTTAAAAGCTCAGCTCTGCCCAACACAACCCAGAAATCTATGCCAAGCTGCCTGATCTTGGGAAAAACTGAACAATGGCTGAGGATGATAACCGATTACCTAGGAGAGACTTTTCTCTGCTTCCAGGAAGAGCTGTGGGTAGAACTGTGGGTAGTGATCCCTGGGATCACTCTAAGGAACCAATAAAAGCTCTGGGAGGACTAGTTTTTTTGATACTAGCTCAACAGCACTGGTGCTAGAGAGGCTTAAGGGAATCTGTGAAACTTGCGATGCCTGGTGGAAGATTAGCCCTCACTAAAAACACGCCCTCCTTCCACTGCACCTCCTACAGGACTCAGCACTGAAAGGGCTCCTTGGGCTCCAGGTGACCAACTAAAAGCATCCCCAGCAATCATCAGAGGAGGCGACCCCCTCCTTAAAGAGGCAAGCCTGGGAGCCACTCTGAGGGCAACTGGTCACATGTGAACCTCTGCCACCCAAAGTGCGGGACCTAATGATAGAAAAGGCTATTTTATCCTTAAAAACATCTGGATACAATATGGACAGTGAGGTGATGCCCGAGCAGCTTCCTCAGAGAAAAGCCCAAAATGATCTGCATCTAAAAATAAGCTGCTATTAAAGAACAAGGATTTTTTGACATTTTAGCCAAGTAATGGTCTACCAGTACACAGACAAAATCTCGTGAAAAAGCAGGCTGTTCTTGATCCATTTGGATGCGGTCTATGAGTGAAGAAATGGGCTCTGCTTAGAGAAATTGCTGCTGCTCCTAGCACCATCCTGAAACTGCTTCCTGGTTGCTTAAAGGAAATATTCCTACAAAATCTAAAAAGAGGGAGAAATCTCTCTGAGGGGCACTGTGGGCAGCCCACGCTGTGGCCAACCTTTAAACTTGAAAACCAAGACGCCATGTCTTTGAGCTGCCAATGCCCCCAGGAGATCCAGGTGCCCCCAGACTCAGGAAACAAAGAACAGTTTCTGTCCAGTTATGACATGATCCTTCAAAATTGTGGCACCCCCATTTCCCTTTGTGAACCAAAAAGTTCAATGGGGTTTCTGCCTTTTAAAAATTTCAGCGTCTACACATAATTCCTTTAACCTCCAGGAAGCATTATTCAGCTTTCTGGAGATTCTGGCCCAAGACCCTTGTCTCTTGTCATTCATCCCAAAACCAAACATGGCAGCAAGCAAGCCAAAGGGAGTGAGTTTCAGTACTAAATCACATTTATTGAGTACATGCTATGTGCCAGGCGCAATGCTAAGTGTCTTCTATGGATAATCTTTGCTTAATCTCAGGATTAATAACCCCATGAAAAGAGGCCTGTTGACATATCCATTTTGCCAATAAGGACACTAAGGCTCAGAAACATTAAATAACGTGTGCCAGGTCACCCAGCTAAGAAGGGCCCGAGTTGAGATTCAAGCCCACATTCCTAAGCATGCCCTGCACTGGGTCACTTCACTCCATTCAGGGGTCCTCAGCAAAGTTCCACACAGAAGAGCGAGGTGACAGGAGGAGGGAGGGGCTGACAACAGTGAAAGTTTCACAGCACTGCACCGCCCCCGAAACCGCGTGGGCCTCTCCTCTCACCACGCTGCGACACTACTCCCTTCTCATCCTTTCCACGGTGTATCCCAGAAGCCTTCCAAAGCATTCCTTCTCCTGGGATCTCAGAGAGAAATTCCCCTGGTTTTGGTGCTCAGGTGGCCCAGGATCTGAACACACTGACAGCCACAGGGAGGCACGCCGATCGGCTGGGCTGTGCTGCAGCCCAGCCATTGGAGCCATCAGAGGAAGCTGCTTCTGCTGCCTGCGTGGATTTGGAGAAAGAAGGAGAACTCTCCCTCATGGGGCTCAGCAGTCACTAATCAAATTTTTAAGATGAGCTTAGCCAAGCAAATGGTCAAGAATAAAAACATTTGGAAGAAACAAAAAGGTCAACCCCATTATTCATGAAAACTCTCAAGGTGGCAGCCCTTGCCGTGGGGACAGCTGTTCACCAGCCCTCATCTGTCCTCCCGACACTGTGTTCCCCGACGTAAGGTCACCAGGTCACAGCTGGAAAATTCAGGAGAGAAAGCAGAAAGTGGGGACTGGTGGTCAAGCTGGCCTCAGAGACTCATCCACACGCACCTAATGACTCACATACCCACGAACATACACAACAAATCACCTCACACATACCCTTAGCCGGCAGGACCAGGGGCAGGCAGCACCCCAGGATGTGCACAGAACTTCGCTTCTGTCCCTCTCTGAAGGGATGGGGAGAAGAGAGTGACTTAGGGTGTGGAAGCCACCTGCCTTTTCCCTGAACTCTCACTGCCCAAGCAGAATGGGAGCAATGACAGGAAGATGCGGGCAGGAGAGGGGCTTGGTGGCTGCTGCCAGCGCACACGCTGACAGGGCCAACAGGGCCAGGTTGGGCAGACTATGCCCAGGTACTTCCTACCCAAGCCCCTTGCTAGAGAGGCACACACAACCAGCAAAGTCCCAGAGAGACGCCTAAAACAGCGCTGTCCAGGATAGGGGTGCTGGGTGAGGGCTGCTCAGAACAACCCCACCTCCTTCCCCTCCTGGGGCCCCAGGACGCAGAGATCTCCCCCCCCCCCCCCCGCCTTCAATAAACCGTGGAGCCCAGAGGTCTCCCAGCCACCAAGGACGTCAAGGAGAACCAGCAAGTCCATGCTACATAAACAAGAAGGAATTTCCATCAATATCAGAACATCTAGTTTCTCGGGAGGTCCCTGCAAGCTGTCACACCGCGCCCGCCACGCAGGAGTTGCTGCCCAATTTCCAACTTGGACCTGACGGCGGAGAGATGGGGAACGTCCCAGCCACCCCCCAGCCGCATCCCTCCTGTGCCCCTGCTCACTTACACCTCTGCCTTCGACACCTGTCTGGGTGCCCGTCTCTTCCCTGCCCAGGCGTGGAGCGTCTTCTCCCTCCTCCTGAGCTGCGCTTCCTCCTTCCAGCCCCAGCCTCAACCTCTTCTCCTCCGGAGGGGCATCCTCCTCCTCCCGCCTCTGCCGGCCGTCCCTGCCTCTGAGCTTGCCCTTGTCTTCAGGGCTGCCGGAAGGGCTGGCCATGGCTCCCGGGGACTCTGCCTGCACTTGAGGAAAAAGAAAGACCCAGCAGCCTCCCGAACCCAGCGGCCTGTCGATGGGAGATGGGGCTTCTGAGCGCGGCCTCGGTGGGTTCGCACCGCGCGGCTCAGAGCTGGACTCCTCGGTGGACCACTCCTGTCTCTCTGCCGCCCCCTGCTGGCTACTAGCGCGCACCGCGGCACGCGTGGAAGAGGCCTGTGCGGGTCTCACCTGCCCAGATGGACCGCTGGCTCTCCACTGCCCGGGGCCAGGCCCACTCTGGCAAAGTCCTGCCCCCAGGTTGCACCCAGGGGTCTCCCTGCCCAAGGAAGGGAGGAGAGAAGGGACAGATAGACGTCCGCTTCTCCAGCGCCCTGCAAGGATGGACACCCTGGTCTCTGGTGCTAGTCTGCACGGTGAATGATTTGGATGTGGCCGGAAAAGGGAATCTGCTCAGAATGCATTGAGAATCTGACCTGAAGGATAAAATGCTTAATGCACAGGCATCATCTTTCAAAGTTGTGCTTACCTATCAAGGATGTTTATCAAGCGTCTATGGGCCGGGCATGGCCATTGCAAGAGGGGGTGATAAGGACGATCATGGCAGGCATTTTCTCTGCCCCTGTGGAGCTCAATGCCTGGTGGGAAGGTGATGATTGGTTGCCATTGTCAACAGGACAAAGGACTGCAAAGAAGTGCCAGGAACTGGGAACCTAAAAGAGAAGGGCCCCCACCTCCCCAACTGCCTCTGCCTTGTTCGTGGTTTTAACTTGAAAAGCTATCACAGTGGGTGGCACATAGTAGGTACTCAAGAAACATTTGTTGGGTGACTAAATGGATCCACTCTCATCAAGGGTTCTTTGCATCCTACAGCTTCCCCTTCTTGCTCCAGCCCCTTCCTCTCTCCTCCATCTCTTCCTTTCCCACAACAAGTAATTCTAATAACTACAGATAGGCTTTGAGACTCTCTTCTATTCCTTTCCACATATTAATTCCTCTAAATGCCACAATAACCCTGTTATTACCCCACTATACAGAGGAAGAGACTGAGGCATAAAAAGGTAAATGACAGGCCCATGACACACTAAAGTGGGAACTGCTGCCATTGAATTGGGAAACCTAAATGCAATGAGAGTCATTGGAACCCAGGGTGACAGGGACCAAGTGGAGACACTCAACCACCGAAGGGGGAGCACCGCTCAGCCACAAGCCGGGCTGACGGCTGGCAAGTGCAGTGGCGGTGGCGATTGCAGTGGCAGTGCTAAGGATATCTGACTGTGGCTTATTGGGGAGCAGGCCTAAACCATCAGTCGGACATCCCCCGAGGGCTCCCAGACTGCTAAAGGGTGCAGGCCAAGCTGAGGGACCAACCCACCCCCGCCCCCCACTCAAGTGCACGAATGTCATGCATCTGGCCTCTAGTAAGTAATAAAACAGTAAACTAAAGTGATGGAAACTGAAAGAGGATATGGGTTGTTAAAGGAAGATACACCTGCTGCATTGGCAGGGTCTTTGGACTTCCATTCTACCCACACACTCATGGAGAAGGTACACTTGACCCCCAAAGAGGGCCTTGGGTCCCCCAAAAAAGCAGAATCTAATGCAAGGGTTCAAATGCAACTAGTTGATTTTGGAGATGATTTTAGGAAACTCTGGAGACAGGGATCATGGGAGGGAGAAGGTTATAAAGTATTTGCTGTCAACCCTGTGGACACCCAAAGCTAATCCAACTGAGAGAAATTGTGGACTGTGCACCTCAGCTCAGGGCACAGAAGCTGGGGTATTCACCCACCAAGTATCAGCATCTAGACTGACAGCTGCTCCCTGGAGGACATTAATTCCCAAGTACTTCTGGCAAAGTGGGAGTTGGTAGCCACAGAGAGCCTCAGGCAAAGGCAAGTCAGCATGCATGGAAGTGGCGAGGGCAAGGGATGTGGGCAAGGGTCCCAACAACACCTGCTGCAGCTTAACCCTGCATGTCCAGGCTGGCTTCAGCAGGAAGAAGTGAGCAGGCGGAATCAGGAGAACTTTGGGTGGTGATGGAGAAGCTGCTTTGGCAGGTCATCCTTCCATAGTGGGGCTTAGAAGGCAGGTTAGCTCAGCCACGGCTCTTGGGGCAGAGCTCGACTGGGGTTCTGGCTTCACTCTTAGCCACATAACTTCAAAGAGGGAAACTGAACTTTGAGAGCTTCAGTTTCCTCTTTGGAAAATGGGCATCACAGTACCTCATGGGATTATTGTGAGAACTAAGCAAGATTGTGCATAGAAAGCTCTTAGCTTGGTATAGCAGAAGGGCTCAAAAAGAAAGTGTGCTTATTTTTAAATATCATTTAACTCATGTGTTTTCTTATAGTGAAGGCAAGTCTGGTCCTGAAGTTAGAGGGTCCTGAGGGTTCCAGGTGTGATGTGGGGAGAAGGAGAGAGACTGAACACGGATGAGACTAACAGCCAAGGGCAGGAAGTCAGAGGCAAGGGCTGTGGGGTGGGGGTGACAGCTGCATCCTGCGCTGGAGCCAGATCTGCCACAAGAAGCTCTGGGTCTGACATCTTAAGCTGGTTGTGAATTAGAGCATGAGGAGCATAAAGTCCACAGCTTCTCTGCTGAAATCCCTCTTGCGAACTTCTAGCCGCTTAGGAGATGTAGGGAGGAATCCAGCCATCAGGACTACCCTCTCCCCAATAATGCCACCTTAGACTATTAGCTGAGGGCCAGGACCCCATTAAAATGAGATGAGCACTCTCTCCATCCTAGCTATCTTGGCACTGACCCCATAAGGGAATACCCCTGGCCCAAGGCATTGCTGCTTCCTCTCCAAAGGAAAATCACAACCCGGGGTACTGACCCTTCCAAGCCCATAACTTCTTTGGGCAACTGCCCCTACCATGTAGCATCTGGTGCCACCTACACCCACCTACAGCATGTTCACTGGCTGCCAGCCATGAACCTCAATGTCAGCCATGACCCTCAATGTCAGCCATGACTCCCATTTTTTAAAAAAAAATCAAGATTTGTGCTGCTCTGCACTGTTGCTGAGAATTCCATAAATCCCATCAGTGGTCACTGAGGACAGGGTGGCTGTCTCCTCCCAAACTATCCATCCAGGTGCCATGCATCTTTGCTTATGGTCTCCCTGCTTCTACTTCATGTGGAATGCATGTGTATCTATGTCCTGAACCTGTAAACTGCATGGGAACCCACAATCCTACCAGAGCCATCAACAAGCTTTCCATCAACCTTACTATAAGAACATAATCCTGCAGTTGGTTTTTTTTCTGATTTTAAATTTTCTTGTTATATTATCAAGATGCAAGGGACACTCCAACAAGTCACCAGATTCCAGGCTCAAAAATGTCACTTTTTGCCCATCTTGTCTTTAATTCTGGAATGTGACTAGAACCTTGTGTTTTTCTTCTTCTCCTCCCAAGTATCATTCCAATCCAGCTCTTCATCCACTCCAACAACTCAGGCACAGTGTTTCTGAGGGGCTCTTCCACAACCCCCCCTCCATATTTTCCCCTCCATGGCTCTGAATGAAATTGGTGAGCAGCCATCTGCCAGGACAAGAACAAAAACATCAGACATCAGCATTTACCTAAACTATTCCTGCCAGCCCTTCCTAGAGGCATCTTGGGTGCATGGATATTTGTCTTGATTATCCAAATCTTCCCTCCTCTTGTTCTTACTAAATGGGTATGTTCTGTGTCCCACTGTTTTCTGCTACACGATGCTGATTGCTGTTAGAGCCTTTTAATACGCATACCACGCTTACAACAAAGACGAATCCCTGCCTTCACCCTGGCAAAACTGCACCATAAATTGCAGAGTTTATAGAAGACAGCATTAAAGGCAGCGCCCACACAGCCTGTGTGCACAAGAGATAGCGCTGGGAGAGGAGGAGGACAGTGCCCCATCCCCAACACCATCATCATGAGCCATGAGATGGCCCCAAACAGGGCCTTGGGGCAGAAATGGGATGAGTACAGTGCGTCCTGAAGCTGGAAGAGGTCCTGAGCTCAGGAGCTTCTAGACTCACAGCCAAGCCATCTGGGGCCCTGAGACTCTCAACGTCTCACTATCACCAGAGCTTGACGTCTAAGGGCTTGTTTTTGTGAGTCACTTTTCTTCCCAGTAAAATCTATGTAATTCATTGTGTGAAGGGGAGATTAATATTATTTTTTGTGGGCAATAAGATAAAAACCCATAATAGCTCATGAACTATTGAGGCACTGAAATTATATGTGTATATTTCCTTTTTTCTCAGAAGATATGATTCTGCATTTAAATTCACAAAGAGTTCCACAACCTCCAAAAAGGAGGAAATGCCAAACTGTGCATGTACTCTAATATTTAGTATACCTTGGTTTTGAACATGACTGAGGAAAGAGGAAAGGGGAGATGTCTTTGGATGCCTCCACTCTGTGAGGCACTTTATAAACACTACCTCATTTCTTTCTTACCCTAACTCCGTGAAGTAATTATTATCAGCAGCCCCATTTTTCAGATAAAGAGACTGAGGACAGAGTACCAGTTACTTCTACATGCCATCCAGTTGATAAGAACCATGGTAAAAATATTAGCAAAGTAATAGTAGCCGATGTTTTTGAGAGCGAGCTTATTGTGTGCCACGCACTGTTCTAAATACTATGTGTGTTAGTTAATTAAATCTTCACTGTAACTCACTGAGGTGGATATTATTATTATTACCATTAATACCTCATTTTACAAATGAGGAAGCTGACGCTCTGAAAAGTTAAACAACTGATCCAAGGTCACCCAACTGAATTGGGACTTGCAACTCAATTGTCTGCCTTGAGCCCAGACTCTTAACCCCTCAGTGACACCACCTCCCAGAACTTACTGGCAATCACTATAATATCAGACTGACTTGACTGTTCAGGACCAGCAAAGACCAGGATGTGCTCTGTAATAATTCCAGGGCTAACATTAGCAAGAGCCTCATCCTTAGTTCTCTGTTGCGTTCAAACACAACTCACCATCCAGGAGCATCCATAGCCATACTAGTAACAAAACAAGATATGAAGAAAGCTCA